ACACAGCAAGACCTTGGCTCAAACAAAACAAAACAAAACTAATAATAATAATGACAAAAACAAAGCCAAAACAAAAATATACCCAAGTGTAAATAATTATTTTAGCATTATGTGTAAGAGTAAAATAAAAGTTAGACCTAAATGAAGTATTCTTTAATAGTCGATAGCTAAATAAATTCTGATACATCCAAATAGTGAAATTCAGTGGTAAAGTCATACGAAAGAATGAGAGGAATGAGGTAAATTTTGTTTTGTTTTGTTTTTGGTAGCAGAGATCAAACTCAGGACCTTGCAATTGCAAGGCAGGTGAATGAGGTAAATATTTATGTGATAATGTCGACTGTGGAAGGGGCTACAAGGCATTTAAGTGATAAAACTGCAGAGGGAGCGGGCATAGAATATGTAGTATATAGTATTCTTCCTTGTGTCTAAAAATAATTTGGAGACATTCAACCACTTATTCAAGCTAAATTACAGGTAAGTGCCTCTGTGCGTCTCCTTGCCATTAAATGTATTGACGACCCATTACATAACTTAACTGACTCTAAGTTATGGTGCCAGCATCTTGAATTAAAATGACAAAAAGTCCGGGGATGTAGCTCAGTGGTAGAATGCTTATCTGGTGTGTTCAAGGCCTAAGGTCTGATCCCCAGTACTGTAAAACATAAAAATAATGTAAAGTAAAATGAGAAAGAGGGATTTAAAAACTAGGTGCCTAATAATCTAAGGAAAAAGTAGAAACTAAATTGCTAGCATTGCATCCTTCACAATGCTCCTCCCTGAAATACAGTGTTCCCCTTAAGCTGGTATTGGTGGGTCTTGGAGGCGTCTTTTAAAAAAATCAGTAACTCTATAAAACAAATCTGTAACAGGTGCTGCTCCTTATGCCGCTTACAGAGTGAAGAGTAGAGCTGGTCCTGATTTTGGTGGGGACTGGAGGCCATAGAAGACGCCCTTGTGCTTCCTGGGAGTTTCTGGTCCAACAATATGGAAGACAGAGTGGGCCGTGTGGACCGTGAGACTACGCTTGATGTTGGGCAGGGATATGATGAAAAGCACATGTTCCTGAGGAGTGTCTAGTTCTTAGCTCCTCTCCCAAGGTGGGGAACAGTGGCTATAAGAACAAATATCTGCAGCCAGGTCCCTGGGGCTACCATTTATCACTATTCGATTTTGAATAAGCGACACCCTGGCCTCACTTTTTTAATCTATAAAATGGGGCTGGGGATTTAGATCAGTGGTGCTGCATGTGCCTTGCAAGCACTAGGTCCTGAGTTTGATACCCCATGCCAAAAAAAATGAAAATAAAAAAAAAATAAAATAAAATCTGTAAAATGGAGATCATTCTAGTACCTATCTCATGTCATGAAGACTAAACAAATAAATATAACTAAAATACACACTGGACATTACTGCGTACTTTAGTCTATTTCAAAGATTACTGTACGGTAAGCTTTAAAAGAATCAAACCCCTTCCTTTCTCTTCTCTCTCCAAGTCCCCAAAGGCCAGGAATTAAAACAGACATGATCATAGTCTCTTAATTTCTATAAGCACTTTCTTTCTAGGTGAGTGGCCTATTGCAGGGCAAATAAACTACTGTAACTTGTTTTGTCTCAGAATCATTTCTGAATCCCATAGTCATTGTCTCCAAACAGACTTGCCTTTGTGCTTAATTATCAGTTCCCTCAAGAATGGAGGATCTCGGGCCTGGGATTTAGCTCAGTGGTTCCACTGCCTGCCTCACAAGTGCAAGGACTCGAGTTCCATCCCCAGTACCAAAAAAACAGGAGGATTTTCAATCATTTATGACAGGCACCCACCGTGGTGGTGGCCATGGCAGTGTCTAAAAAAGATCCTGCCAAGCACTGGGTCTGGTGTGTCAGGAACACATGTCTGCAGGCAACACCTCTCAAGGGAGTTTCTGCTGGGAGCACAGCAGTTTCCCCACGGTGAAAGCAGGACATGGGATTCCAGCAAGGCAGTAGCTTGGCATCCTGGGCAGGCCCACACTTGTCTGGACCTGTCTCATCATCACCATGGTACAGGGATTGCTTGAAAGGTCTAGTTTGTTGAGCTCTTTCTCAGGAAGTTGAAATAGTTCTGCCTGACCCCAACAGACCACCCACCAAGACACACAGATGGTAAAACAGGGACAGCTCCCGGAGTGCTAAGGGCCTTATATACATCACAATAAGTCCTTGAAGAGGCTACTAATTTCCCAGATGCCCCGGAGAGGTCAACTTGAAGGCCTAGGTGGGGCCTAGCTTCCTGAGAGGAACTTGGGCTGGGTGACCAAGAACACCTGGTTGTCCTATGCTATTCTGTAATAGCGGGGTGTGGTATCCCCAGGTCCTCCAAGCCCACTGGGTCGGGGTACAATCCTAGATTGCCAGGTTCCTGGGGGATTCTGTGGCACCAGCATCCTTGGATTATACTTTCCAGATGTATTTTGGCTGCACAGGTTTTATGAAGCAGTGCCCAAGGAGTCATCGGGAGCCACTGAGTCCCCAGGACAAACACTGACTACCCCCACCCACGTTTTCTCCCAGGAGAGAGTTACTTGGCTGCAGAATTGCTGATGTCCTTGTATGGACCAAGGTTTAGCATGGCCTGTGGCTGTGCAGGTGTGGTGAGAATTTCTATCATCAGACTCTGTAACGGACTTTTCTGTGCCCTCGAGAAAATCCTCTGTGGAAATCCTAGCCTTCAATGTGATGGAATCAGGGCATAAGGCTTTGGGAGGTGATCAGGTCATGAGGTTTTCAGCCTCGCGAGTGGGGTTAGTGCCCTGATCTAGAGACACAGGAGCTTGCTTTCTCTCTCTGCTCTTCGTCACGGGAGGCAAAGAAGGTGGCCCCCTTGAAGCAGGGCGAAGGACCTCACCAGAGCCCAGTCCTGCTGGCACCATGACCCTGGATCCCAGACTCCAGAGCTGTGGGAAATGACATCTGCTGCGAAGCCACCCAGCCTGGGGTGCGCTTGTTTTAGCAGCTTGAACTAAAATGATACCCACATTGCAAACGACCAGTCCCAGGGAACAGTGTAAAAGGGGAAACAGCTAGAGCTGCTGTAAGTCAGTGACCATCCTGCTGTATTTATCAAAGTCTTCTTTTAAGCAATATTTTTCCTGAGCCAATACATTTGAGTATTACTGTGTTGTCTTTTAATGTGTTAAGTGAAACCATTTTTCCTTATTTGTGAGAAATTTAAACTACTCTATAACTCAAAAAGTTTTCCGCAAATCAGATTTCTCAAAGTGCTGATAAAATATTCATATTTTAAAAACACAGCTATAAGATCATAGGGGCTGTGGTGTGGCTCAGTGGGAGAGCACTTGCCTAGCATGTGTGAAGCCCTGGATTCAATCCCCAGCATCACACACACACACACACACACACACACACACAAATTATTGTATTAGCCCACTAGAGCTGCCATAACAAAGTACCATACACAGGCAGCTTAAAGAATGCAAGTAGGGCTGGGATTCAGCTCAGTGGCACTGTGCCTGCCTTGCAAGTGCAAGGTCCTGAGTTCGATAAAGAACAGAAGTTCATTTTCTCACAGCCCTGGAGACCAGAGGCCCAAGAACAAGGTGCGGGTGGGGTGCTTTTGTCTGTGGGCTCTCATCCTAGATGGCTTTCTTCACTCACGTCCTCATGCAGCCTTCCTTCTGTGCCTGTGTCCTCTTATCTCCTCTCTTCTAAGGACTTCTGGCAGACTGGAGTAGAGCCGCCCTTAGGACCTCACTGTGCCTTAGTTACCTCTTTCATGGCCCTAGCTCCTCTGCTAGTCACCTTCTGAGGCACTGGGGAACAGCAGGATTTCAACAAAGTTTGAAAATGGGTACAATGAAGCCCATAATAAGTATGAGTTTATTCTTGATAAATATATACATGCCAACTATATTAATATAAAATATATTCCTGTTTATCGAACATCTTCAGAATCGCTATGTGTGAAAGATGTATTTATATTCACTGAATATAGCTGAGAAAATATGCATGAGTATATTTATGGAGTAATCTTTGAAACAAGCTTTTTTTAAAAAAAAAACACCAAGCTTTTGATAAAGCAGTTATTTTGGTAAACTTGATCGTATGGTGAACTGATACTTTGTTAAACTCTTTGAGAAGTGACAATGGGACAAATTAATCTAGAGCTACTGAAAGACTTGTGTGAACCAAAGCCTAACCATCTCCCCATCCCAAGAAAATCGCATCGTTGTCAGACAGGCACACAGAGCCACGCACTCCCAGACACAGCAACTGCAGGAGTAAAAGACCTGGGGCCAGTGAGAGTGGGACAGGGAGGGAGGATGGCCTTAGAGATCCCTGGCTTTGCAGTCTTTTCCCTGTCCTCTGGCCATCAGGCTCGAGGCTACTTCTGAGTTGCAGGTGCCACTTCCAAGTCACCCAGCAATGGGTCCCTGGTGAGTTCAGCTCCTTCCTGCTTATGCCCGAGTTCCCAAGCCCAAGGACATTAGGGGAGGGCCCCCTTCCCTGCTGCATCCAGGTCCAAATTCAGCTGTGCCTCCTCCTCTCCCCTTGTTTCCCACTCTATTCTCCTCCTCTCCTTCCGTCCAAGAGTCCCGCTGATGTACTCACCCGTTTCTTCCAGAGCAGTTTGTCTGCCCGTGCTCTGGACCTTTTTTCTTCCCTCTCAGCCTCTCTGCACCCCACTCTATGGCCGATGGACCCCTCCGGCTGCACCCCACGTCCGATCCCAGTGCCTCCCCACCCTTCCCGCAGGCCTCTCACCCCTCACTCCCTTGCCGTCCCCACCGAACCCTGAAATGAGCTCTCATTTTCTCCCATCCTCGCTGCACTTTCCATTCCCAGGACTCATCTTGACGTTCGCAGCAGGACCTGGCACACACATCGCAGATGCTTCAAGACAAGACAGCGGGTTATCAATCGAACTAGATAACTGGGTACTGTATTCCTCGAGCAGTAAGTGCAAGGGTGGTGCAGGATGCAAAGACTTCCAGTCCTGGCGAGACAAGATGGAAACACGAAAAAGACCAACAGAGCCACAAACAGGATGGAATATTTAAAATCTGGAGAGGCCGCTGGGGCAGGATGAACAGCTTCCTATTTCCCCCTCCCCGAAGGTAAGCGAATGTCAGTGAAATCATGGCCCAGTTCCAACACCACAGGGAATTCCGTAGTATGGATGCCTCTTGGGCCTTTGGGACTCTTGCTGAAGATTAGGGTCTGGATCAGAGTTAGGTACAGAGTAAGACTAAGGCTACAGCTGAGGGCTGGGCCAGAGCGGAAGTCTAGGGTTAAGTTTAAATTTACAATTTGCTAAGGGTTAGGGTTAGGGTTAAGGTTAGGGTTAGGGCCTAGGGCTAGGACTAGGGTTAGGTTGAAAGTGTTAGGGTGAGATTTATGGTTAGGGATAAATTCACGGTTAGGGTTAGTATTCTGACTAGTTTAGTGTTAGGATTGGGTTAGTACAGGTTTTAGAGTTACAATTTGATCATTGGCTGTTTACTTTTAGGTTATCATGAGGTTTAGATTTAAGGTTAGGGTTAGGGCTATCACTAGGTGTCGTACTAGGACTAGGGCTAAGGTTAGAGTTCAGGTTATTTTTGGGTTTACACTTACAATTTGCTTATATTTAAGGTTAGAATTTCAGGTTAGGCTTAGGGTTAAGATTTAGTATTACGGCAAGTGCTATGCTATTGTTACGCCTAGTTTTTGTATTTTTTGTATTAGGATCAAACTCGGGTCTTTGCACTTGTTAGGCAGGCATCAGCATCACTGAGCAAAATCCCCAACTCAATCTGGTTTAGGCTGTTATAGAGCTAGCTTTAGGTTTAGGACTAGGGCTAAGTTTATGGTCTGTGTCAGTTTAAGGCTAACGCTAGGGCTAGTTTTAGGTCAATGGCTAGAGTTATGGATAGGATTAGCTTTATGGCTAGGTTTAGGGTTTGTGTAAGGGCTAGGGTAAGGCTTATGTTAGTGTTAGGTTCTGGGTTAATGTGAAGGCTAGAGTAAGGGTTAAAATAAGGGTTATGGCTAGGGCTATAGTTAGGTTTCAGGTTAGGATAATGGGTAGATTTAGGTTTAAGGCTGATGCAAAGCTATGTTTACAGCTATGGTAAGGCTAGACAGGGTTAATGCTATGGTTTTGGTTAGGGTTAGGTTTACATTAAAGTTTAGGTCTAGGGCTATGATTAGGACTTGGTTTAGGATTACAGTTAGGATTAAGTTTAGGTCTATGGTTAGGTTTACATTTAGCATAAGGGCTATGATTATGTCTAGGAAAAGGGCTAATGCCAAAACTACGTTTAGAATTAAGGTCGGGGTTAATGTTAAAATATAGGAAGCTTTCAGACTATAAACCTAACCCCACCTAACCCTAACCCTAATCCTAGCCCTAATCCTAGCCCTAATCCTAATCTTAATCCATACCTAACAGTAACCATAGTCCTAACCCTAACCCTTGCCCTCAAGAGGTCGGGGTCCTGGAAGTAAGAAGGCACTTGTGGCAAATGGTCTGTGCAGTGATTCTCAGAGTAGTGAGTCACTGTGGGGTTCACTGTTCCTGGGTGAGTGGTGGCAGCCAGAACGTGGTCCTCGCTGTCCCTGGCTGTGCACCTGTTTCTCCAGCCATCAACTGAGGAGTGATGCACTAAAGACATGGAATGGAGTGTGTGCCGTGATCTCTGGGCGATTTTCTACACTTTGCCCCAGTCATCCCTAACTTTAAGAGCTGTGCCTTTCCAGGTAGCTGAAGAACTCTGAGCAAAGTCAGCATAGAGAGGAAACATGCGTGTGTTCCTGCTGGCAAACCATCTTGAGGTTCAAGCTTGAAGTCGAAGAGAATTCCAGCGCCTGCCTGAGTCCATACCAAGGCTTCCCACGACCCCGGCTGCTTTTAATAAGTCCTGAGAGATCCCAAAGTGAAGCAGCATTTCCAGCCTGCCCAAGAAGACCTGCATCTCTAAACTCTTTCAGAAGGTTAGGAAGATCGCATCGAGCCAAGGTGTCAAATGAAATCCTCTGGAAACCGAGGTCATTTCTCTGTGCTCCTGTAGCAAGACTACTAAGTATATATAAAGCACTTGTCACGTCCCAGGCTCTGTCCTGCAATGCTCCCTGCAGGGCCGACTCTTGTACAGGATAGTGGGCGGCTGGGGGGATCCCAAGCACCAGCCACAGGCTCAAGTCACCGAACAAAACATGAAGGCAGCCGGTGACCCACTGCCTCTGCTGGTCCTCTGTGCAGAGGAAGAGCGAGAGGAGCAAGCTTCATAAGACAGGAAAGGCCGAAGGGCCGTGCGGTGATCTCCACTCCCTTCCATGCAGCTGCAGCCGAGGTCCTGCTCACTCCAGAGAGTGGGCTGCTTATTCTCCTCAAATGGAGCCCTGTGTGTGAAGGGGAAAAAGGAATCCAGCCTTTTGTCAGCCAAGAGCCCCAACTGCAGAGACCCGCATTTCCATCGGCTTCTGCATTGACATCTGGCTCTCATCCATCTTGCTGCTTGAACATCCAACCCCTCTGAACAGAGGGGGACAGAGCAAACGTCACCCCTGCTCCGTCATCCTCATAACAATCCCATCTGATGATAGGGGTAACTCAGAGGACCCTTGCCAAGGACTGGCAGCTGGTCACCTTCTGGCTACCGCCTGGCCCAGGAAGTTCCCACCAAAGGATGTGCAGGCAAATCTTCAGTCAGGAGAGGGACAGGTGACTGAGGGGGTCTGAGTGTCCACGGTGTCCACTGCAGTCAGAATTTGGCACTGACTGTTTAGAAAGATGCCGGGGAACCCAAGGTGAACAAAGGCAAAGGAGCCCTGCAGGGAGGGCAGTTTCAGACATCACAAGCTCCCAGCCAGGCAGTCTGAACAGGCAGAACCTCTCTTCACAGAGGCCATGCTCCTCACTAGGAAGCTCATGGAATTAAGGTAAACAAGTTTTATTTTTATTTAAAAAATGTTTTGTGGTACTGAGGATCGAACTCAGGACCTTGCGCTTGCGAGGCAGGCAAGGCACCACTGAGCTAAATCCCACTGGCCCAAACAAGTTTTAATTTACTTATTATTTACTTATTTTTGCTGCAAAGTTATAGTGACATTTTTCAAGGTTATCTGGAAAGTTACATGTGTGCTCTGGAGATCTTGGTGAGAAAAATAAAGCCATAGATCCCCAGTCATTCACGAGGCAATTACATTCTGAGTCTTTAGCCTTACACTCCCTCCCTCCCTCTCTCTCTCTCTCTCTCTCTCTCTCTCTCTCTCTCTCTACTCTCTACTCACATTTCACACATCTGGACAGAGATCTTCACCCAAATGCAAAGCTCCGAACTGCTATGCGGTGATATTAGCTGGGATCTTGTGTTAGCCTTGCTTACAATAAGCAGTGACATAAGGCAGAATTTACATATGTCTGGACAGCCTCAAGCTCATCCATATTCAACACCAACATTTAATCTGTTTTCCTATTGGATGTTAATTTAATTTTCCTACAAATGCAGCCAATCATCTGCTACTCACCATCTGCCTTTAAGATCAACTTTGCGGGGTGGGGATTTAGCTCAGCAGCACAGCACCCGCCTGGCAAACACGAGGTCCCAAGTTCAATCCCCAGTACCAAAAAACAAAACCAAAAAACAAACAAACAAAAAATCAACTGAGAACAGTAAGTGAATAATTATCATCCGTCTTTGTAAAGTTCGGCCCTGTGAAAGTCAAAGATATTATGCAAATTCTTGAAATTCATGGTCTTGTGATTCTTTTTCCCTTCTCAATTTGGTTTGGGAATGGACTGTGCTTATAGTTTCAAATTGGCTGATATTAGAAAAAAGAAAATAATCTTTTCAAGTACCCTGACCACTCTGGAGTGTGACAGCCTAAGTCTGGGAGAATGTATGTTCGGTCCACACAGGGCACAGGGCAGCTCCCCGCCGTGTGCACGGCTGGGGGCTGGGCTTTCATTTCTCCCAGGTGGCTCTCTCCCATGTGCACGCCCACCCTGCCCTCCAGACCCACTGAGCCCTCCTTGTACCCTTCGTCTGGCGTTTCCTGATCATAACCATCTAGAGGATGCTGACTTCTTTTGGGCCAGCAGAGGGTGAACAAGGGGCTGGTGTTTCCTATCCTGGCCTCTCCCTTTTAATACCAGACATAAGCTGAACGCAGGTGTTAGGCTTCCTAAAACTGAAGGGAATCACAACGAAAGAGGGAAAAAACTTCATGAGGCTTTCCCACAGCGCAGGAGAAAAGCAGCAGCAAGCATGCACTCTGCACCCCACTGCCCAAGTAGCTCCCCAACACAACTTGGACCCTTGTTCCACTTCTCGGGTGCCCGGGGTCTGCCCGTACAGGAATTTCATCTCCTTGGCCCTCCAGTTACTCCCTCCAAACAATGGTGCTAGGAACGAGAAGCGGAGGCCTGGACATTTTCTGGAGACAAAAGGGCTGGGTTTGCTCTTTCATTCTCATTTAAAAACCACTTCCATAATAAGCTTTGTTTTTCCCTTTTGCTTTCTGATTTGATTGATCTGTGGCACCAGGGGATTGAACCTAGGGTCTTTGAATTGAGCTGCATCACGAGCACTTTGTATTTTTTGAGACAAGTTCTCACTAAGTTGCCCAGGCTGAACTAGAATACTCGATCCTCCTGCCTCAGCCTCCCAGAGTGCTGGGATTATAGGTTGTGCCACCATACCACCATGACTAGTTTCATGTTTCCTTTTCCAGCTCGATAGGCTAAGATTTCTCCCATATGATCAGCAACCAACAGTATCCTGGGAAGTTTCTGCACTGCTGAAGATGCTTTGGTTAGTATTATGGACAAAATGTAAACTGAAAAAGCAGATTACTTCCTGGAAAAAGCACAGTCAGGGAAGGATCTTAAGAGTAGGATCTGATGAGCAGAAAGGGGAGAGGTGGCTGGTCTCAGGCATCACTGGCCTTAGAGGCTCAAATAGAATCATCAGGACCATGTCCTAAATTCTCTCTTTGCCTCTAGATTCTACTTTCCTGTGTTGGGCAGCTGGTGGTGTACTTTATCCTAGCACCAGTGACCTCCAGAAGAGGAAGTGCCTCTCCCTCCGGAGCTCTGTGGGGTTAATGTGGGTGTTGTGACACCCACTCCCCTGTAACTGGAAGATGAGGCTGTTTGGCTGATTGTGGTGGTAGGGGAGGCAGTGGGCTTCTTTGTAGTGTCTCTGTCAGACAGTCGTGAGAAGGCCTGATGGGGGCAGAAATTATAGCTAACTGTCCACTACTTGAAAAGATCATAGGCAAAGAAGCAGCAGAGCATGCTGGGTATTCAGTGAAGTCTTGTCTGGGAAGAGCAGAGGAGGGAAGCAAAAGGAGACACACTGAGGAAGAAGCCGAATACCAGCATGGAGCTTCTACTTAGCCTGGCAGGCTATGGGGAGGTTTCTGAGAAGGATGCTGAAAGGTGAGCAAGTCCAAGTTCAGAGAGCGTGGTCTGCCACCCTGTTTACACAGATATTGAAAATAGAGGGTCTTTTAGAGCAGCTTAACTTGGAGGCATGAGGTGATGGCACTGAAACAGGGATGGCAGCACCCACCAGGTGCACTGTATGATGTATTAGTTTTATGTAGAAGCAGAAGGAATTAAAGATGGAAAGAGATCAGTGATGCCATTACTGAACAAGTCTGTGAGCAGAAGGGTCTCTAGGAATGGACATCCTGTCAGCTGGCCAGGCAGGGAGCTGATGGGGAGAGGCCAGGGCTTTAGAGAGGAGTCGGCGCTGGAGGTCTAGAAAGGCTTGGATTTCAAATCATGAAAATGCAAGCTCTGTGAAGAGGCGTCTAAAGGACAGCTGTGTGGGAGTGTGGAAGGCTACAGAGAAGATGAATTAAGAATGACGATGACCAAGGAAAGGAAACCAGACATAGAGCAGAGAGCACTGAACCGGCTTAGTCAACAGAAAGGAAATTCCAGTCCCCAGAGTTCAACACTAACATCATCAGTGTTGGCTCTGTAGGCTTCAAGTTCTCCTCAGTCCCTGGTAAACTAAGTCCAATGAGCAGTGACTGAGGCTAAGGATTCCCCACTTTCTGAACACCCTGGATTTCCATTCTGGTGTAAGTTGTGTTAAGACTTGAGTTTCTTATCAGTAGTAACTACACACTCCTTTTGCGGTCACACATAACTGATCCGGCCTGCAGACATGGTTCAGGCTGGGCACTAAAGCAGGCCACAGAAAGGGGATTCCATTTACCAGAAGACAACATTACTGTTTTGAAGTTAAAGCAAAAAAATTAAAACTGTAACTGTTGATTCTTAAATTGTAAGATTTGAATACATGACAATTTTCTGGCAGATGGCAGCAAAGTCTGTAGTTTTCATAAAGTCACCATATTGCAACTATTTCCGACAAAGTGTTTGAAAGAAAAGGGGGTCTTTCAGATGTGCGCTTGCACGGGTGTGGTGCAGGCTGTGGGGGCCTCAGCTCCATCAGCTGCTCCCTGGACACCCGTGACTTGCCGCCCCTCATTAACCTAGCCGCACATTGTTCTCAAATCCTCACCCCACACCAGCCCCAAGGATATACCCCAAGTTCAAAGCCCACTTCCCAGTCTCTCGCCTTCCTGATCTCTTCACCCCAGCTCTTGCCCTTCTCCAGCCTACCCACAAACTGCCATCAGAATCCTTTCTAAAATGTGACCAAGTGTCTTCTTGACTTAAAGTATTTCAATATCCTCTTGCTGCTTACAGAATTCAACTTAGACTCCTGCCAACCAAGCAGCCACTTCTTACGCACACCATGCTCTAACCATACTGGAACCATTTTCTGATGATGTTTTTGTCTAGAACCCCGGAGAGGGTGTCCAGTGAGTTTCAATTCATCCCTCATGAAATTCAGTAAGCGGTTCCCCCATGAACTCTTCCCTGACCAACTCAGGCAGGACTAACCACACCTCCTTTCCACTGCCACTGGAGCTAGTACTTCTCCCACAACTGCAGATTTTCCGACTGTCTATCACAGATGAGTAGGCAGCTTAAGGAGGCATCTTAACTGTCCCCAACAGAATACTGAGATACACTCATACCTAGCACAGTGCCTGGTGACTGACTGGATGGTCCAGAGAAGCCACAGACGGTGAGTTTGATGAGAAGGGCTGAGACAGTATGTCCAGGATCTTGAAAATTAGGTATTGTAGACTCTCAACACATAGGGTCTTGGCTCAGTTAAATGTGAAGGAACTCAAATGGCAATAAGCCACATTCATTTGCTGTGCCCCTCTCCTAAGTATTCCGAGGGGCCTCCAGGAAGGCCTCTGCCCCCTGCAGCCTCCACTGGTGTGCTGTACTGGGAATGTCATGCTTTCACATGGGGACTGCTCCTCTGGTTGTGTTTGCCGTTGCCTTCTGCTCGAAGTATCAA